GACCCATCATTGGTATCAAAGGGAGAAATAGTGGCCCATCGTTAGTATCAATGGGAGAAATAGTGACCCATCATTAATATCAATGGAAGAAATAGTGCCCCTTTGTTGGTTTCAATAGGAAGAATTGTGCCCCATTTTCGATGTCAGTGGGAGAAACTATGCCACACTGTTGCTTGCAATGGGAAGAATAGTGCCTCGAGGGCTGGATAAAAGCAAGTAAAGGGCTGCATCTGGCCCTGGGCCGCAGTTTGGAGACCACTGTCTCAGCCAGCGGGTTCCGCGGTGGGACTGGAGAGCCCAAGAAAACCTTGGAAGGCAGCAGGAGGGGTGGGGGAGTCCTTTCCAGCTGCTTGTAAAAGCAATTCAGTGGCTAGGTAGTGGCTAGGATTGTTTTTTCATGAAAGCAGACCACCAGCTGAAAAAAAAATTATACCGGGATGATGCCTGTAGCTGCAGGCATCATACCGGTATAACCACTCAAAGTCCAGTGACGTACCAGTATGTTGCTGGTCCATGTTTGGAATTTCTGTAACAGCAGAGAACATGGGCATATGATGAAACAGAAAAAAGAAAGAAAAGAAAGTTCCTGGTCAACTTGCCCAACTTGTTTTGTGATATGATGAATCAGATCTGTAGACCAATATGACCGCAATTCATTATTTTTTTTTTAAGGCCTGTTGAGAGTTAGGTCCAAAAAAGTTTTAAATTCAGAAACTGTGATAGGTTTCCATGTGAATTGTCTGGCAAGAGCTGAATTTGGGTGGGCGGCAATGTATTGTTGTGCATATAAACTGCTTTGGCCCACAATCAATACATATAAATCTTTGGTGAAAAAGGAGCTAAACGCTAGTGTTGGCAGCGAACGGGGCCGATCCTGCTAACACTGCATTTTTGGAGACACTATACAAAGGAGGCACTAGTAAAGTTCTGTTCGTGATCAATATATTGATCTGTGTAAACACTATATTAGTAATGGTGGTGATGAGTGACCTATAGTGTGAGTGCGATAGTGTGCAGGCAATCTAGCTAGCTGACCCTGGCTGGGAGAGGCACTAACTGACCCTGACACTATCTGATGTCCTTAGTGGCAGTAATACAGTGATCAGTGAAAAATTCTAAATACTGACACTGTACTAATGGCACTGGCTGGGTGACGGGGTAATCAAAAGGTTATAAATACAAAGAGGTGCAGCGCTGAATATGCGTGAAAAACTGAACCATGACAATATTAAATGGCATAATAAATAATATAAGATATAAAATATAAAATATAAAGTGCAAAGTCATAAATCACCCTAAGGTGAAAAAGGTGAATGGAATGTCCCATGGTAATGGAAAAAAGCCCATGTGGGGATCCAGTAGATCCTGATGAGTGCATGGGGAATAAATCCAGTGTAGCAAATGATGAGTGTAGAATAAATGAAATGCGCACTCACCAGAAGTGCAACATAAATACGCATATGAGATTAGCCTGTCTCATCAGGTATGGTAATGGTCATCTGCAGCCAGGATAGGGTCAGGATCTTACACCATCTGTGATACCATAGATACTGGTTTATTGCTTCAAAGGTGTCATAAAACATCAATCACGATGTCCGCCACCGACCCAAAAAAAGAAAAAAAAATGTCCCGTTCCCGATGATGTCTGCCAGCCATGTGCCTCTGAGCTGGCTTGACAGTTCTTAAATATGTAAGGGGCGGGGCCACCTGGGACATTGTTGTCACATGGGGTGGGGTCACATGCATGATGTCCCCGGGTGGCCATGTTCACATGGGGGGGCGGGATCTGGGGGCCTCTTGTTAAAGGGGGCTTCCAGATTCCATAAGCCCCCTACTTGCAGACCCCAACAACCACCGGTCAGGGTTGTGGGGAAGAGGCCCTTGTCCCCATCAATGTGCCAGTCAGTGCCACCTATCAGTGCAGCCTATCAGTGCCATATATCAGTGCTGCCTTTCAGTGCCCATCAGTGCTGCCTTTCAATGCCCATCAGTGCCACCTACCAGTGCCTCCTCATCAGTGCCCATGAGTGCCACCTATCAGTGTCCATCAGTGCATCTTATCAGTGGCCATCACTACAGCCTCATTAGCGCACATCAGTGAAAGAGAAAAATCACTTGTTTACAAAATTTTATAACAAAAACTAAGAAAAACATATTTTTTTTTTTTTTTTCCAAAATTTTCAGTGGTTTTTGGTTTGTTTAAGAAAAAATAAAAATCCCCGAGGTGATTAAATACCACCAAAAGAAAGCTCTATCTGTCACAAAAAAATGATAAAAATTTCATATGGGTACAGTGTTGCATGACCGCGCAATTGTCATTCAAAGTGCAACGGAGCTGAAAGCTGGAAATTGGCCTGGGCAGGAAGGGGGTAGAAGTGCCCTGTAGGCAGGAAGGGGGTAGAAGTGCCCTGTAGGCAGGAAGGGGGTAGAAGTGCCCTGTAGAAGTGCAGGCAGGAAGGGGGTAGAAGTGCCCTGTAGGCAGGAAGGTGGTAGAAGTGTCCTGTAGGCAGGAAGGTGTAGGTGCAGGCAGGAAGGGGGTAGAAGAAGTGCCCGGTAGGCAGGAAGGGGGTATAAGCCCTGTAGGCAGGAAGGGGGTAGAAGTGCCCGGTAGGCAGGAAGGGGGTATAAGTGCCCTGTAGGCAGGAAGGGGGTAGAAGTGCCCTGTAGGCAGGAAGGGGGTAGAAGTGCCCTGTAGACAGGAAGGGGGTAGAAGTGCCCTGTAGGGGAAGGGGGTAGAAGTGCCCTGTAGGCAGGAAGGGGGTATAAGTGCCCGGTAGGCAGGAAGGGGGTAGACGTGTCCTGTAGGCAGGAAGGGGGTAGAAGTGCCCGGTAGGCAGGAAGGGGGTAGAAGTGCCCTGTAGGCAGGAAGGGGGTAGAAGTGCCCTGTAGGCGAGGGGTTAATATACACACTGAGTCTTCTAGTTTAGCTAAAGATTTCTTGGCTTTACTTGAATATTTGACCTAACTCAATTTGTTTTCACCCCCCACACATATCAAAGGGCACACCCTGGACCTTATCATTGCAAATGGCTCTTTTGTCTCTGACTGCTGTCCCATTGACTGACCACCTAGCTATTCTTTTCAATCTTGAATTAACAGCTTCTATCATCTTCCTGTATTGATCTGTTAACTATCCTAACTGGTCTAAGAATAATCAGCCCAAATTTGCAAATTCTGTTACTTCCTCTTTATCCAGCATCTCCTCCTCCGACACCCTTGTTGATAAAATAGATGCCCTAAATCAGGCACTTTCATCTTTCCTTGACACTTTTGCCCCATTAAAAATGCAAACTATCTCATTCTCACCCCCCACCCCGCCCCCGACTCCATGATATAATTGTCACTTACATTCTCAGGGAGACTTGAACGTAGGTGACGCTGTTCAGGCTTGACTGTTCATTATCAGGTTTAGAAAGATTATTTTGTATCTTTAATGCAGGCCATAGACAGGTCAAACATCGGCGATTTTTAAAAAATCAGTCGTTACCACCAACCATTTAAAAAAAAAGGGCCGCCTAAATCATAAAGTTCACCCCATAACTTCTGTCCCTTGCAGGTCTCAGCTCATGCGCCGACTTTTTATCGGTAAAACGATCGGCCGATTTGTCCATCATTGCAGGGAAAATCGGACGCGAATTTTCCAACATGACCGATAAAAAAAGTGCAAAAAACCCCAAAAAATGGCCGACTAAATAACTCACTAACAGATTTTTCGGTCGAAAAAAAAAAAATTGGCCGGTTTTCGAACCGTCTATGGCCGCCATAAGGGTCAATTTGAGATGGCTAGATCAAACTATTTATCCCATGCCACTGAAAAAAATCTTCCAGGACTGGATCGTCGTGGGACACTGAAAGGAGCCAGGTAAGACACAGCAGCCCCTTGCTGCACCCTGTACTAAATGGCCCTTCCGTTGGTGCCGCCGCCCCCTAAAAAGTGCCGCCCTAGGCAAACGCCTTGTTTGCCTTGCAGCAAATACGCCCCTGGTCCCATTATGCCTCTGCCTTTGGGAGTCATGCGTGTAACTGTCACTCTTGCAATGCCTCATGGGATTTATAGTTTGGCAACAGCTGGAGGGCCGCCAATTTGACACCCGTGTTCTACATTGTAATCTTAGAAGAAGGCAGAACAGAACAGAACCATGTCAGAATTTTACACTATATAAAGTAGAACAGAAGGCAAAACCTTTTTCATTTTGGATGTCTTTAATTTTTCTGTTGTTACCGTCAATGCCCTACTGGGGGGTTTCCTTTTTAGTTCCTTGCTCACAACAGGAAGTGAGAGGAAATCTTTTGTTGTTATGACTAAATATGAGTTCAGGTGTGTTCATATCCTAGTCGGGACCCACTTGAGCTGTCCCACCATGAAGCCATCACTGTACACAGCCAACTATAAGCCTCCAAGGCATTCCCTCCATGCAGCCGCACAGTACATGCTCCTTGTATGCATGCGGCTGTGGGGTGGGGAATACCTCGACACTTATGAACGGTACAGGGATGGCTTAGGTGGGTCCTCACTAGGATCTCCATGCTATGTAATGGTGGCCATACATGCTTTGATTTTATTATCTGATAGTTGTGAGACACAATCAAAATGACTGAATCAGCTTGTAAATAGATAGGCATAACTTCCCCTCCCAATCGATTTAGGCACGCCATACATTATGTATTTTTTTTTTTCTTCAACCACAGGTTGAAAGAAAGAAATTCACTCTATTCTCCCATCAATAAATTTAATGTTGATGGACAGGGGCGGACTGACAACTCATGGGGCCCCTGGGCAATAGGAGATCATGGGGTCCCTGTGTCCTTGCCCAAACTCAAAAACGCCTATGAAAAAGGTACTAGGGGCATCTCATGGGCTGCAGCTTTATAGTAGTTTAAACAGGGGTGAGCGCGAAATTTATTGATTGTTTTAATTATTTACAAAAGAGCTTTGCGACCCTAACTGGAAAAACATTTTCTAAAAAGAATACTTGCCCAAATACGATTCATGAAACCAGCCTAAAACCCACCTAACCCAAGTCACATAGTGGTCAATGCATGGAACATGTAGAGTCTTCTGTATCTGTTATCATTACTATTACCCAGGGGCAGACTGACAACTCATGGGGCCCCTGGGCAATAAGGGATCATGGGGCCCCTGTGTCCTTGCCCAAACTCAAAAAAGCCTATGAAAAAGGTACCAGGGGCATCTCATGTGGCCCCCTACTGACCCCAGGCCCTCGGGCAGTGCCCGAGTTTCCAAATGGTCAGTCCGCCCTTGTTGGCGGGAGAATCCCAGCAGTCATCGAACACATAAAAACCTGACAGGCTGGCTGTACTGAAGTCAATCGTGATGTCGACTTCAGGACAACCAGTCTGGCCATAGATGGATCAAAATTGGTCTGTTCCTGCTGAACTTCGATCCATCTATGGTCGACTTTAGACTTGGTTTAGGTCTAATTCAATGAAATTGAATTAATCAACCGGGGCAGAATATATTGATTAGTTTTCATTGATCTGCAGCTTTGTTCATGCATTTGATTGTATTTCAAATGAACAGATTATGAGGTTGCATGATAAAAATAAAGATGCAAAAAAATTTACAATCATTTCATCCAACTATCGATCAAAATCTACTTACTGGTGAGTGTCATATCGATCAAATAAGTGGTCAACTGTAGATCAATTATTCCTGTAAGGAGAGAAATCAGAAAAGAAATAAGTCATTTAATGAAGCGTGTATGGCCATCATAGAACTTGCCTTCAGTTCTGCTTTAAATTCTTGATTGCATTTGTCTATTGATTTCGGACGCAACACACATTTGTTTCCAGTTATTAAAGTATAACTAAAGGCCAAACTTTTTTTTTCAGTTGGGGTAGAATGGAGAGTGATTAGAAGACCTGTTAGACTTTTATTGCTGTCTGTTCTCTCCTTAGGGATATTCACTCTATTTGTTCTGTTTACCATAATTATTGATAGTGAAAGTAAAAGAAAATCCCACATTTTGGGTTGTCCCCAGAAAGTAATAGAAGGGAAATCTTCCAGTGGGGACATTAATTGTGGCGACTGGGGAGGCTCCAAGGGATTCGCTTACCAGGCTCCCTTCCTGGTATGGCTATGGGACAAGAAGTGAAAGTAAACCTTCCCAATGGGACATTGGTCACAACATGCACCAGGGCACAAAAAGCGTTCTGTGGTTGTGGTGTGATAAGGCCCTAAAGCATCATGCACATCTAGGTCCATATGATGTAAAATGCCTGGGAGCCACAGGTGCTGCATACAGCTATCTAACAAAATAAATGGCTTTACAAAGCTGTATACAGCACCTGTGGTTCCCAGGTTAGGAAACATACCCAAATATGATGTCATATGGCCCCAGACGCTTGTGTGTATGAGGCCTAAATTAGTTATAATCAATTTAATAGATATAGGGGACTGCAAGTGTAGGCCCTGATGTCACCAGAAAGTCACACTTACTGCACAATGTATGTATGGTAGAGAAAATGGTCAGAGACTGGATGTACCACAGGTCATGGCCAGAGGCTGGGGGTTTGCTACCGGGGATGATCAGAAGTTATTGGTATGTTACCAGGAATGGCTAGAAGAATGCTACAAGGGATGGTCAGAGGCTAAGATGCTACTGGAGATGGTAGGAGACCGCAGACATACTACAGGAATGGTGAAGACTGCATACATGCTATAGGAGACTGTTATAGGACCATCATACAGTCAGCACTCCCTACAGTCCAAAATTTGAGATGTGTAATACAGATCCAAAAACATGCACAAAAAAAATATATAAATGTGACAATCCACCACCAAAAATACTAAATAAACTCACCAGAGCTATAAAAAACTGAAACATATATTGCTCTGGGAGCGGTGGTATTAGTAGAGTAATAGACCATTCATGGATGTGTCTTCAGGGAGTAATATTCTGCAGAACCCAGATCCAAGCAGACCAATTGCAAATGGAGCGAATGCTCTAGAATCAAATACCATCAAGGAAATCCACTTCTCCAAAAAGATCACCCTAATCGTATCCAAGAGGGGAAATGCCAGACACTCGGAAGAAACAAAAGAACTTCATGGTGCAGTATTATTAAAAAACAGCTTCCTTTATTATGCACTCATTGCACTTATCTCAAAAGGTGTCGCAGCCGACACCAGCATTAACAGCATACAGGAATCACAATGAAAAACAAACCCAGCCACTCGGCACATGCGTAGTAGATCACTGGGAAACGTAATGACGTCACATCAATCAAGTCCTCCCTACGCGTTTCGTCATCGTCATTTATAAATATTATTTATATGGATAATATTTTATATATTTTTTTTGATTCACAGATAGATTTTAATATTTATTTACTAGCGCAAATTATATATTGTGTTATTTGTTACACTTTATTTATTTATGGTGGATTTTGCAGCTGGTATATCAATGATGTGATCCATATATATATATTTTTTTCTCTTTCTTTCCATAGGCGTCATTATATTTATTTACTCCCTACAGTACCCGTCACGATTTACTGGCACCAGATGTGGCATCCTCTCAGCATAATCTATTCAATGTCAAAAACAAAAAAAAAGAAAAAAGAATGGACAACACAGAAATAGTGAAGAAGTGTGTTTTAAGAAATAAACCGTATAAACTGGCTAGTAGAAACCAGTGCAAAGCAAGGTGCTGGGCAACAGCAATGTGGAGCTATTGCCTTTTATTCTTCTCTCTCCCCCCTACTGAGATACTAATGTTATACTGCACCATTCTCCTCCAGCTATCAGGTGGAGAACTAAAGCCAAGCAAGCTCATAGACTTCTGCACAGAGCTCCGAGGAAGCTGCCAAACTCAGCTGGGTGGGTCAGGGGAGGACTGACCATTTGGAAACTCGGGCACTGCCCTAGGGCCCGGGGTCAGTAGGGGGCCCCATGAGATGCCCCTGGTACCTTTTTCATAGGCTTTTTTGAGCTTGGGCAAGGACACAGGGGCCCCATGATCCCCTACTGCCCGGGGGCCCCATGATTTGTCAGTCCGCCCCTGGTGTGGGTGAGTCTGCGCACCCATTCACTTTTTCTAGGTTGCAGGCATTCAGCTCAGTGGTAGTAAGCAAATGACTGCACTTTGTACAGGGTGAATGAGCCCATTCATTTTAACAAATCGTATTAAAAAGACTTCATACTTTTTTAAATAAAACACACGATTTTTTTAATAGAATCCTGCCAGCCTGTCCTTTAAGCATCCTTTTGCCCCAGTGTTTGGAGATTAACACATATCTTAAGTCTAAGTTCACATCTATGCTCTACAAGAAAGCATGCACCAAAGAAGTACATGCACCTTAAGTTACCATGCATTGTGGCACACTGCAATGTACATGCATTGGCATGGTATGATGGGCTACCATTAAGATTGAATGACACCACAGCGTACCAACAAGAAAAACACATTTTCAAGTGGGCTGAAGGAATGCACAGAAATGAACAGAGCTGAAATATGAAAACAAGTTTGGAAAATTCGGTACTTGTCTGTTAATTCACTGGATTTAGTTATTTATTTTTTTATATATATATATATATATATATATATATATATATATATTAATATATATATATAATATATATATAATGTGTATATATAAATATATTAATATATATATTAATGTATATATAAATATATTAATATATATATAAATATATATATATATATATAAATATATTAATATGTTAATATATAAATATATATATTAATATATTTATATATTAATATATATATATATATATATATATATATATAAAATATATATAAAATATATATATATATAAAATATATATATATATAAATAAATAAATATATAATATATATATATATATATATAAAATATATATATAAAATATATATAAAATATATATATATTATATATATATTATATATATATATAGACCCACTTTACTGACATCCTAGCTAAGTAATTAGTTTTAAATAAAACTTTTAAACTATGTTAACTATATTGAATAAATAAATCCGGTGAATTAACAGACAAGTACCGAAAATTCTAATAGCTTCATACCTCCCAACATTCTAAGATGGGAATGAGGGACACCTACTAGCAAAAGTATGTAAAAATAGGACACACATCCCTCTTAAAGGAGAACTATACCTAGGTGTTTTTTGGTGCTTTTGCAGAAACTCACTACAGTCCACTTAATGTGGTTTCCTATGGGACAGGTCCATCTATGCTTTTTTTTGAGCTGCTGCATTTTTGGAAAGGGTCATGGACTTTTTTTAAATGCATATACAAAAAGATAGGAGAGATCCTCATCCTTCAAATTAAGGACTTTATAGGCGTAAGGTTATTCAAATGTAAGATGCCTACTGACCTCCCAGTGACACTGATGTTATGAGTGATCTGGTATTACTGTTAACAGCAAAATGTGGATTTATACACATTCTTGTATAAATTCATTGGAGAAGCCGCTGAAATGCATATAGTGCATTTTTGCTGCATTTTGCGTTTTTTATTCTGCCCATCAACAAAAATAATTTCCACTTTACCAAAAAAAAAAAAGACAAAACAAGACAAAAAGCACAATGCATTGGTCTGGGTCAGGCCTAACTACTGCTAAACATGGCTTTGTTGGCCGGATCAAGGGAGACAGCATTTTGACAAAGCTGCAGTCAATTGAGCTGGATTAAGCAATGCAGGTGCAGGGAGTCAGATATTAAAGAGCAGATTAGCAAAGATGTAGGAACAACCTGCAATGGCAGACATGGATACACTAGTGGATATGGCAGAGACAACTCCAAAATGGTGGTCTCCAACAGAGATGAAGGATGCAATGGGACTTTTTGCTCCTATTGAACATCAGCAAGAAAGGAGGGTTGCTGACACGGGTAGATAATATTGATACTATTGCAGTTTTGGATAAATTAAATGCTCATGTGATGTTAGCTCATCCCATTAAAATGTTTGCATGCTGCTGATTTATGGTGTGACAAAGGGAGGGCATTATATTGCTATTCTGATATCCACTTGTTTAACCATTAAGCAAATCAAAGTGTGACCATTTCTTGCGATACAGAGCTCTGTTATGTTTTGGGGGGCGTTAATTTTTTTTTTTTTTTTTTTTTTACTATACACAAAAGACTGCATTTTCAGGGGGGAAAAATATATATATATATATATATATATATATATATATATATTTTTTTTTTTTTTTTTTCTCATTTTAAAAAATCAAAATTTCATACATTTTGACAAAATGCTAAATCCAAATGCCTGTAAATCAATTGGTTTGCATGAAAGTTATAGCGGCTGCAAATGGTGAAGAAAAAAAAAAATATATATATTCTAAATTTTTTTTTAATTTATACTAGTAATGGCAGAGATCAATTACTAATAGTGGGGACTGCGGTGAGCATTCTGACACTGGGTGGTAACTGATTAACTACCACACCACTGACATCCCCAGTGACCATAACTCAGTGGTAATAAAAAGCACTGACTTTGTACTAATGACACTGGGCAGGAAGGGGTTAATGTTTTAGTGATCAAAGTGTTAACTGTGTGTGCTGTTTTTACTGGGGGGCATGCTGCTTTGTATTTCTCTGTGTAGAGAAATACAAAACAGCATGTCCTTGCTGGCAGGAGAGAGACCTGTGTTTTTTACACAGTTCTCTACCCTGCCAGTTTTGCACGGCGATCGGCGGATATCTCTGGCCGGGACCTGGTGACTGACATGCCTAGCCACCAATGGCAGTGAGGGTACGGTGGCACATGCGCCCCCCCTACTCAGAAATGTGAATTGCATATATATATATATATATGTGTGATTTTTGCGCAGCCCTGATGCCCTGTACAAGTATTTCTACTATAGGGCGGTGGGCAAGCAGGTAAGTTAACCTTTAAAAATACATGCAAATTAAAAAAAATAAAGCACTAATAAAATAAAAAGTGTGTATGTGTGTGTATATATATATATATATATATATATATATATAAAAATCTCCTTTTGTATCAGCAGATCACAGGTGCCATGCAGGACTCCTGCCGACTGTCAGTGTGAGCTGTCTGCCTGTACATTGTATAAGCTGGCAGTTTCACACTGACAGTAAGAATCAATGAACCATCCTTGTATTTGATTCATTGACAGAACCCTGTGAATGAGCGATGTGGCCATGTGAGTGAAGCCCTGCAAGGCTTCATTCCTTTCAAAAAGTGACAGCTGGTACAGGAAACTTCTTCCCGTATTGCTGTCATACAGAGGGCTCTGATCACTAAGCCGCTGCAGGAGCAGGAACATGTTCCATGTCTCCCCCCCCTCCCCCTAAAAACGGGTGGAACATGTAAGATGTTCCTGAAGGTGAACTTATCATATATTAACAAGGCCCCATTCACACATGCAGACAGTCTGTGAGCAGCCATGCATAGCTGTGGTAGCTGTCAGCATCACATCGCTTTCAGTAGAGCAGTCGCTAATTAACAGGAACCCCTGCTGGGTCTCCCACATATGGTACTCCCTTGTAACCATTGGTACTCCCCCTGATCAGTGGCCCTGTCCACAGAAGCTGGAGCACAGGAAGATAATGGTGACCACCTTACATATCCACTGATTGTTAATGAAGCCAGAAGGTGCCCTCTCCTTTAAACAGTGTGTTTTTTTTTTTTTTTTTTTTTTTTTTTTTTTTTTTTTTTCCCACGTGACCCAAAAAATGCACCTGAAAAACATGGGTGTGTTTTTGGTGCCTTTCACATTGACTGAAATGGAAAGTGCATCTTTGGTGGGCTTTTAAAAAGCGCACCAAAGATGCAGCTTACAGGACTTTTCAAACCACAGTGTAAAGGCAGTGCAGTGATGTAAAAAGTCGCATAGGACTGGTGAGAAAAGCTCCATAGGATTTAAAGGATAAGTTCACCTTTTCTAACATGTTACTTCCATATTCAGCATGTAACATGTTATAATCGACAGGCCCCCAACCCCACATCCCCAATCCCCGTTGCCACAGCTAGCGGGGGATCTTCTCCTCCCTATAAATTAGTATTCGGCATCCAAAATTATAAATATTGCACAAAATGTTATGCAAAATTCAAAAGTCATATTTTCACCCTTGAAAGTGAATAATATAGTATGAAAAACCTTTTTTTTGTGTCAGTCAATGCGTATAATAAAATTTAAAGTCCAAAAAAAAAAAAAAAAAATGTAATCCTGTGTCCAACTTCAATATTCCCATAAATCCAGATCAGGTGAATACCTCAAAAATAAAACTAAAATAGTGTTACCTCAATACCAATCAGTATATATTTTAACAACCAATAAGTATATACTTAAAAATACGTGCAAAAACAAGCCAAGATTCAAAACGTGAGTAATACGTGAATCGTGAGATCACTCTGTGTACACTATAAATGAATAAATGTGAAAAACTGTGTACACTCATGAACCAAAAAAAAAAATAAAAATATTAAAATAAATCAATAAAAGGTGAACACTCCTATAGGGCTAAAATGCATACATTTACCCTCACAAGAGTGATATCAAGCCTTAACAGAGAACACTCAGATGTTGTAGTCACTTCTCAGACTCCTCCAGAATGCTGTGTGTGTGGGGGCTCCAATCCTTAAGGAAAGCCCTTAGGACTCCATCCTCCTCATGCAAATAGAGAGGCCCATGTAACAAAATATAGTGGGTAATAAAACATTTAATAGTAGTGCTGACATTGGATAGTAAAAATCAGCAATATGTTCCCATGACTCAGCCTGAGCAACTTCCTGGAATGTTATTCATGCCTTTTCCAACAGTCAAAATGGCCGCTCCACCTCTTCTGGTTTGCGGAATTACGTCAGACGTCACGTCCTTTGACGCGTTTCGTCATTCCCGGACTTCTTCTGAAGAGATCTTCTCCTCCCTACGAGCTGTCACAATTTTTAAACAAACGTGGCCATGTGGGGCTCCACCCACCCATCCGCATCACTCTTTCAGTGTTCTGTAAATAGGAAAACTACAAGTTCTGACCGCCTTAACCACTGTTGGCTTGTACTTCTCAAACTACCATGGTGTTGTGAAACCTGTGGTCGGGGGCGGACTGGCCATTTGGAAACTCGGGCATTGCCCGGGGTCAGTAGGGGGCCCCATGAGATGCCCCTGGTATCTTTTTCATAGGCTTTTTTGAGTTTGGGCAAGGACACGGGCCCCATGATCCCCTATTGCCCAGGGGCCCCATGAGTTGTCAGTCCACCCCTGCCTGTGGTAGTTCATTGATTCTTCCTGTCAGTATTTCTTCTTGTGCATACAGTTGTGCTCAAACGTTTGCATACACTGGTAGAAATTGTGAAATTTTGGCATTGATATTGAAAATGATAAAAAAAAAAATGCTCCTTTATTGAAGGATGATGATCATATGAAGCCATTTATTATCAAACAGTTGTTCGGCTCCTTTTTAAATCATAACAGAAATCACCTAAAAGGCTCTGATCAAAAGTTTACATACCCTGGAATGTTTGGCCACAAGGTGACACACACGGGTTAAAATGCCAATTAGAGGTTAATGTCCCACATCGGTGGCTTTTTTTAAATTGCAATTCGTGTCAGTGTATAAATAGTCAATAAGTCCTGCTTAACAAGGTAATGGAACTTTATAAAGATGGAAAAGGACATAAAAAGATGTCCAAAGCCTTTAATATGCCAATCAGTACTGTCCAAACTGCTCCTACAAAGTTGGGAGCATGAAATTGTCCAAAATGTCTTGGCGTGTGGATGCCTTTAAGAGTTTCTTTCACTGGAACTAAGGGGCCAAGCCCAAACCCTGAAAAGCAACCCCACACAATAATCCCCCCTCCACCAAACTTTACACTTGGTACAATGCAGTCAGAAAAGTACCATTTTCCTGGCAACTGCCAAACCCAGACACGTCCATCAGATTGGTAGACAGAGGAGTGTGATTCATCACTACTCCAGTGGTGGTGTGCTTTACTCTATGGCATTTGACGCTTTGCATTGTACTTGGTGACGTAAGGCTTGGATGGAGCTGCTCAGCCATGAAAACCCATTCCATGAAGCTCTCTACGCACTGTTGTGCTAATCTGAAGGCCACACAAATTTTGAGGTCTTTAACTATTGCGCTGACCCCACTCTGCCATTTTACGTGGCCTACCACTTTATGGCTGAGTTGCTGTTGTTGCCAGCTGCTTCCACTTTATTATAATCCCACTAACAGTTGACTGTGGAATATTTAGTAGCCAGGAAATTTCATGGATGGGCTTATTGCACAGGTGGTCACCTATCACTGGACCACGCTTGAATTCACTCAGCTCCTGAGAGCGACCCATTCTTTCACAAATGTTTGGAGAAACCGTATGTATGTAATATATACATTTTTGTTTTGCTTTTTTACTTACAGCTCCTGTGACGTTTTCTGAAAAAGTCTTGTTAGAAAAACTGCATTCAAAATATTCCCAGAAACCCTGGACTGAAACTATTAAGCTTGTCCGTTACTGTTTGGTAAGAGCTTTTTACTTTTTTTTTTTTTTTTTTTTTTTTTTTTTTTTCTTAAAATGCACTGCAATTGTAGGAATTGATAAATGGTGTCGTAGATACCCTTTAGAATTCCACTGGGACATTGCACCAAACTATGTCAGCACTCATACCCGATTCATGCACCCAGGGGCGTATTTACCACAAGGCATTTGCCTAGGGTGGCATTTTTCAGGGGGGCAGCTCCGCTCCCCAAAAGAAGGGATGGGAGAAGGGAAACACGCAGCATGAGGACCAGGTGGGATCTGAGAGAGGCTGTGTGCTTCTTGATGGTGTATGCAGAACCTGAGTCTTGTTTCCGAGGACATCCGGAGCTGTGAAGGTGAGTGTCTTCTCTCTCTCTCTTGCCGGGGTGGGGGCTTTCCAGTGCATGGGGGGTGGTGGTAGCGGAAGGCTCTCTTGGATGGGGGGAGGGCTGGGGTGTTGTTGGTCAATATCAGGCTCTCTTCATGGGGTAGGGGGGTGTTGGTCGGTGTCAGGGTCTCTCCGTGGTGGTGGTGGTGGGGGGGGGGGGGAGACTATTTTTGCATTGCCTAGGGCAGCACAAAACCTAAATACACCACTGCATGTACCTGTCAGACAGGCACATGAATTTGTCAGTGCTGGGCATTGAGGTACTGGACATGTCCCTGCACCCGAACTTAACTGGTACCAACTCCCATTTCGGCTGTGATCACCTAGGCCAGGCATGTCCAAAGTCCGGCCCGCGGGCCATTTACGGCCCGGGGGTCGGTTTAATACGGCCCTCCAACAGCCCTCCCTGCTCTGTGTAATGTGGCCCTCCCACGGCCCTCCCTTCTATGGCAGACAGTCTTCTGCTTGAGAGCAGAGGGCAGTGCGCATGCCTGACTGCGGCGCGTTCTCCCTGGTCTGTGTAAATGCGGCTGTCGCATGGCCCTCCCTTCTGTGGCAGACAGTCTTCTTCTTAGCAGAGGGCAGTGCGCATGCGACTGCGGCGCGTGCTGTGTAAATGCATGCTGGCTTAAGAGCAGCGACAGCGCTGGGAGGACAGAGGGCGGTGACGTCAGGGCCGGGCTTCCAGCGTGAAGTGTGTTTCTCTTCCTCCCCCCGGCTGCCGAGCAGAGACTTCAGCTCCAGCTACCTTTTTCACCCTTCACATTAGTGCAGGTAAGTTTTTTTTTTTTTTTTTTTTTTTTTTTTATTTAAATACAAATTATATATAACTATATTATATTTATATTTAATTATATTATACAAATAAATTTAAATTTCAATACAATGTGAAAACTCAGCTGTCAGTTGATCTTAATGTTATGAAATGAAAAGTATGTCGTTTGCAATTAACTTGGCATAAAATAATTTATTTGCATTTAATTGTAATGGTTCAAAGAATGTTCGGAAAAATGTTCGGCCCCTCCACCATGTTCACGTCATCCAATCTGGCCCTCTTTGAAAAAGTTTGGACACCCCTGACCTAGGCGATCGGAAGCAGTTGTCTTCCCTCCCCGTAGTTTTCTAGGACATGCGACGGGTCAAAGAATATTACAGGACTAGTCACAATGCGCAGCGCTACTCGCACATGTGCAGTGGGCATCTTGCATGAAGTTGCAAGCTGTCACAGCCGAGTGTCCACACTGAAGACGCTGGGACACAGGACAGTCGTTGAAGCCGGCCAGTGTGAGGACACTATGGGATTTTTTTTTTTTTTTTTTTTTTTTTTTTTTTTTTGGACCTCTTTAATCTGTGAGCTGGTCGTAAGTCAATAAGGAGACTGTCACTGCCATATCAACAGGTTCCTAATATAATAACTATCTGAATTTTTTTTTTTTTTTTTTTGCACCGCTGCTGAATCCGACCATTCATACTAAAAGTGGTCAAGCTGCATCTGAGTGTAATGCACATAGTTACGATGCAGTGGTGCAGCATTTACAGGGTTAAAATGAGGTAAGGAGGTGACTGATATCTGTAAATCAGAACCAATGCAATTAAATGTCAATGGAATTGATTTCCTTTTTATCCTATTAGGAAAGACCAGCTGGAAATGTTCTTAAAAGCTCTACAGATCATCCGATATTAAGATGCAGAAACACACTGCAAGAAGCTGTAAAAGGTACTTGACGCATGAGACCGCTGGTTAGTCGACAAGAATCGCATCTTTTACTGAATCTCTCATCTTCCCTATGCTATTCCTGATATGACTTAACTTTTTTTTTTTTACATTGTAGCAAAATGCCTTTCCACCTTGCTGACCCGCATAGAAGCCATCTCCATGCAAAAGGGGTATGTGTATATACCGGTCAAAAGCTAAAAAAAAAAATTCAGCTATGTTTTTAGAATGTACTAAACCATTATGAAATGGATTGGTGACTTTGTTCTCATGCTAACAGTGGCCACATGGTTCAAGAGAGGAGAGAGAGTTATGCAGTCATGGCCAAAAATATTGGAATCGCTGCATTTTCTGTCATATAATGTACCACTTTGCCAAGGAAATTGTCATAATTACAAATGTTTAGCCATTCTTCTTCCTCCCTCTTTTCTTTTTTTTTTTTTTTTTTTTTTTTTTAACCGTATTTTCCGGCGTATAAGACAACCCCCTACTTTTCCTGTTAAAATATAGGGTTTGGGCTATACTCGCCGTATAAGACTACCCCTCTTCCAATGCACACCAAATAAAAATGAAGAAAACGTCAGATTTGATTTCAATATGGCATGGTATTTCATTATGGTATTCCAATGATGGGGCACTATTCCTCCCACTGACCCCAATGAATGGGGCACTATTCCTCCCACTGACCCCAATGATGGGGCACTATTCCTCCCACTGACCCCAATGATGGGGCACTATTCCTCCCACTGACCCCAATGATGGGGCACTATTCCTCCCACTGACCCCAATGATGGGGCACTATTCCTCCCACTGACCCCAATGATGGGGCACTATTCCTCCCACTGACCCCAATGATGGGGCACTATTCCTCCCACTGACCCCAATGATGGGGCACTATTCCTCCCACTGACACCAATGATGGGGCACTATTCCTCCCACTGACACCAATGATGGGGCACTATTCCTCCCACTGACACCAATGATGGGGCACTATTCCTCCCACTGACACCAATGATGGGGCACTATTCCTCCCACTGACACCAATGATGGGGCACTATTCCTCCCACTGACACCAATGATGGGGCACTATTCTCCCACTGACACCAATGATGGGGCCCCATCGTTGGTGTCGGTGTGGGAGGAATAGCGCCCCATCGTTGGTGTCGGTGGGGAGGGGGGAATGTTGCCAATAGTGTTCCAGCATGATGCTGCTGCACACTTACCGGCCGCTCCCTCACTCTATTTTCGTGGGGCCACTCTGCTCCGCCTCCTCGCCGGTGATTGGCCGCCTGTGTGCCTTTCCTGAGCTACAGTTCTGGCGCCCAATCACCGGTGAGGAGGCGGAGCCGAGTGGCCACGTGAACATCAAGCGGCCAAACTGAATGAAGGAGCAGCCGCGCTTCCTGGACTGGATCGTCGTGGGACCAGGACCAGAGCCAGGTAAGAAACGGCAGCCCCCTGCCTGCCCCTGTACTTGGTGTCCCTTCCGTTGGAAGGGGGGGGCGGCACCGCGCTGCCCCCCCGAAAAAGTGCCGCCCTGACACCGGCTCTCCGTATATACCGGCGTATAAGACGACCCCCCGACTTTTCAGAAGATTTTCATGGGTTAAAAAGTCGTCTTATACACCGGAAAATAGGGCATTTCTTTTGTTTGTATTGGTATGACACACAAAAGTGGAGAAACAAAGCCAAATCTGACAAATTTCATGCAAACCCCCAAAAATGGACTGGACAAATTTATTGGCACCTTCTCGAAATGGTAAATAGCATTCCAAGTTTGATGCTCCTATAATTGTGTAATTAAACTCACCTGTATCAATTAACAGATCTTAATGTTCCTGTGTGCATTATTGACAAGACGTTTACGGCCCAAGGCACATTAGCTAATCTCCCCGGATGTAGATGAAAGAGAAAGACGTGTTCAACAATTGCAACAAAGGATTGTTCGAATGGTGGCTAAAGAACCTCGATCAAATTCAAGCTGATCTTCAGGCACAGAGTACAACTGTGTCAGCTCAACTATACAGTGAGGAACAGAAGTATTTGAACCCCCTGCGATTTTGCAAGTTCTCCCACTTAGAAATCATGGAGGGGTCTGACATTCACATTGTAGGGGCATTCCCACTCTGAGAGACAGAATAAAAAAAAAAAAAAAAAATTCAGGAAATCACATTGTAGGATTTTTAAAGAATTTATTTGTCTTGCAATGCTGAACATAAGTATTTGAACACCTAAGAAACAGCAAGAATTCTGCCTCTCGAAGACCTGTTACTGCGCCTTTAAAAAGTCCACCTCTACTCCACTCATTAATCTAACTTAGTAGCACTTGTCTGAGCTCTTTAAAGACACCTGTCCACCCCACAGTCAGTCAGATGCCAACTACTACCATGGGCAAGACCAAAGAGCTGTCAAAAGACACCAGAGACAAAATTGTGGACCTCCACAAGGCTGGAAAGGGCTACGGGGCAATTGCCAAGCAGCTTGGTGAAAATAGATCAACTGTTGGAGCAATTGTTAGAAAATGGAAGAGGCTAAAGACGACTGTCAGTCTCCCTCGGACTGGGGCTCCATGCAAGATCTCACCTCGTGGGGTATCACTGATAAGAAAGGTGAGGAATCAGCCCAGAACTACAAGGGAGGAGCTGGTCAATGACTTGAAGAGAGCTGGGACCAAAGTTTCAAAGGTCACTGTCGGTAGAACACCAGGCCGTCATGGTTGCAAATCATGCATTGCACGGAAGGTTCCCCTGCTCAAGTCATC